TAATTCCCTTAACTTCAATATTCGTAACAAAAAATATCTATTTCGAGTCTTTAAGACACTTTTGTTACCTTTCTGAATAGAATCAAATAGACTTTTGCTCTTATATATAGATTATACGCTTTTATCTGTATGTCCGTATGTCCATGTCTATACAGGTTCTTCCGCATTCTTATATGTTCAACACTTCGTACTCTGTGCTGGAGCCGATTAGATTATTTCAGTGCACCTGGAGAAAATGATAATGAGTTGCATCCAGAATTAGCCTTCATCAATAGAACTTATATTCAAATCATGCAGCTTCCCATTTGTAATTCATAACGTGTAATGGAATTCCGAGGCATGTCGCCAATCTTCATGAGCCTGTGGTATTTTCAATTAGATTTCCAAGTTGGAGTATTATGCGTATCTAGTGTGTTGGCATGTAAATATTTTGACCGAAATCACCAGGCGGTTAGCATTGACCTTTTACGGAAATTGGAACCTAGTACAGTGATACTAGTTTGGTAAGTTTATCGACTTTTATTTAGCTTCAAATGAATAGCCTTACTAAAGATAGTCTTTATAGTGTGTGTTATCGAACCATTTATTCGAGAGTGATTATAAAAAAGAAATCGTTATCGGAGACAGTCATTATAAAATTAAGTCGACTTCAGTTATTTTCATTTTAAAATAAAAAAAACTTCAAAAGTGAGAAGTATTATAATTCGTCATAATTGAAAATCATTAAAAAATAAAAACCGTCCTAAGTGAGTATCGTTTTTAAAATCAAAGTCGTTATATGTGAAAATCATTACAAAGTAAAAGTCGTCATGAATGAAAATAATTATAAAATAATTGTCGTTATAATGATAGTCATTGCTAAATAAATATTCTCATCATTGAGGACCATTTAAAAATAAAAATCCTCATGACTTATATTCATTATAAAATAAAAATTATAAGTAATAGGCAATATAAAATAAATATCCTCATAAATGATACTTTATAAATAAAAATAAATAATTTTGCCACCAGCCATAAGCAGAAATATATATTTAAATACATGAATGTCAAATTTCATCATTAGTAAAATAAATATATTTTTCCTGGAAATGTTAGTTTAATTTCTTATGCACATACATACATACATACATACATACATACATACATACATAATGTGAGAAATACATATATCAATTTCCAGTACCCAAGGTGCGGATGCCAAATGGTCCGTCTACGAAACTCTGAATTCGGCATATTGAAATTAACATCAATTTCCAAGTATTTTCTTTTCGGTTCTACGTAACTGTCTTTACTTAATTCCGGCATTCACACGTTTATAGAAGAAATTTGGCATTTAAAATAAACGTGCAATATCAATTTTGACCGATTGGATTATTCTGCCTCACTCTAGCGATTCTCTCAGCAGGTTTAAAAGATTATCTTTTTAATTGAAACATCACTTTTTTACCAGCTTTCTTTTCCGTTAGGCTAGCCTCATATTTCATTAATGTCGGCAAGAAATCTATTTTTCACTTCAGTCTAATCTGCATATATAGACATGTATTGGTATTTCCTAAAGAATGCATATTACAATATGATTTCCTAAATTCGTCAAAATATATTTCTTCTATAATTCTAAGTATATCTGGTTATTATATTCGGACCCTAGATGTTATATTGTCGCCATAACAATTCCTACCTGCTGCATGGTGAAATATTTGGCAACTAAGCCTCATCGCACACCAACGTATTCTGGTGAGAAGTGTGGCTAACTGTTTTATACGATAAAACCAATACTTCACAAGGGTTAATGAATATTCTTGTGAGATTAACCCCATCTAAAACAATATGGTAGACTGTGACCCATAGCTATGTATACACTCAACGCATCATGACACTACATCGATGTCAAGTTTTAGGGCGATGTGTTTCCCCGATGTAATCAAGAGATATGGGTTCGGGACCAAGTCAAGCTTTCCTATCGAAGGACATATTCTGTGTTTTTACCTGGAGATGGATGAACTCCAGGTATAGTTTCCCAAGAAAAGATACGTAGGAATGAATATCTGGCTGATTTTAAACCCACATATGTGGATGTAACTTCTCAAGTGCTTAGAATCCTACAACCATACACGGTAATGAGATTGATGATTGATTGTTTGATTCATTTATTAGGGGCTATCAACCCTTTACAGGATATTTAAAGAGAGAAGATAGTTTTAGATTGAAAGTATATTTCTGCGTTGGATAATAACTATTAACTTCTAATATTTTTTACTAATTAGCCCATAGCTGTGGGATAAGAAGTTGGTTCATAAATTTCCCAAGGGTATTTGCGAGTATGTGACTACAATGTACCAATATCCAACTGGAACTCCTCTCTGATTATAAATTTCAATTACTCTTACGTCACCCTCACGCCCAAACTTACAGCACCTAAATTTCCCAAGCCGTAACCCATCTAGGTACTGGACAAGTTCGACATTGCTTAATTAGGGTAACCAGTGATCGTACGAGAACAGGTGTTTCAGTGGGAGGAAACCGTAAGTCTGTGATTGATGATGATGATAATGCTTGGAAAATATCTTTAATTTTAATAATTTAATCTAGCTTGAGATGTATTTTC